AAAGGGAGAAAGATAACAAATAAATGAATTTCTAAAAAAATGCAAAATTATAATTCTACACATTTTAAATATTTTAAAATAAAAAGAATCAAAATGAATATAAATAATCCATTTCCAAGAATAAACAAAATACAAAAAAATACAAAGAATACATTTTTTTTCTTTTTTGCATGAAAATACTTTTATATTATTTAGTAAATAAAAAAGGGGAAAGATAACAAATAAAAGAATTTCTAAAAATGCAATTCTACACATTCAAAATATTTTAAAATAAAAAGAATCAAAATGAATATAAATAATCCATTTACGAGAAAAAAAAGAAACTTTAATATTATTCAGCTTAAAAGTTATTCCTCAACCTTTGTATATACCCCAACTTTTCTTTGACTAGAATACATTTTTTTCCTTTTTTGCATGAAAATAATTTTATATTATTTAGTAAATGAAAAAGGAGAAAAATAACAAAAATAAACATTTCTAAAATAATTTAAAAATACAATTCTACACATTCAAAGTATTTTTAAATAAAAAGAATGAATATAAATAATCCTCAATATCATTCAGCTTAAAAGATATTCCTCAATCTTCCTTTTTTTCATTAGAATGCATTTTTTACATTTACATTTATATATATATATATTTTTTTTTTACATCCATGGTTAAAATTTGTGATTAACGACTGATGAAAAACCATAAATTTTAACCAGTAGAACATTCTTAATATGCATTTGATTCCCATATCTTTAGAAATACACTCTAGTTATTATTTTAACCACCGATTTACTTGTATTACGATTTTGCCGCCTATTGCTGACAGACTTATTATTTAAGTTCAATTTCAATCTTAATGATTATTAAATAAGTTCTTCGAGACCTTAAAAGAATATATATGCTCTCTCTGAATAATTCGGTTGCCGAACAAAGTTCACAGAGCTAGTAAAGCAATGGTAGTGAGAATATCAAATTGCTTGAAGAAATGGAAGCCAAAGCCAGAAGAGCTGTAACTTGTTGAAACAAGTGCCCGGAGGTATCAACGATCGGCGCTGACTTTGTTGACCAAACGACCGAACTGACCGACCGGCTGCAGTTCTGGCAGTTCATCAAATTCTCATGTGACCAAAAGGTTCAATTCGTTTCAATTCGAAACTTGATATGCGGGTCACATATTAATGACTTCTTTCTTTTACATAACACACTCGATTCGATGAACTGGCAACGGCGACGCCGTCAGTGCCAGTGGCAGTGGCAGTGCCTTTGCCACAACTGCCCCCCTTCCCCTTCCCCTTCGCCGCTCTCCACAGCTTACTGCGAAGACATAAGGTTTCATCAGAGTGGTGCACCCACTCCACGAAATGACACTTGTTGTTGTTATCGTATTCTAGGGTTTGGCGCGTCGCGGATATTCCCATTCCAAAGTGCTTGATTCCTGCCTCTTGGCCGACCCTTTTCAATGCGCAGGCGCATGGACAGGCAGCCAGGGCGACGGTCGGCACGGCTGCGCACGTGATGGAACGTCAGTCGTCGTCGTCTTCGTTTGCCGGACAATGGAAGTGAGCGCGCGTTGGCGGTAGCGTTCTGGAAGCTAAGACTGCAGTTGCCAGCAATTGCCAGCAGCTGCCTCGCCCCTGATTTTGTCAGTGCCTTCTTCATTTCTATAACCTCCTCCGCCCCCCCCCCCCCCCCCCCCACCCCCTTCCCATTTTGTGTAATCTTCTTGGTATGCATTTGTATGCAGAGTGGCGGATGCGCCGAGCAGAGTGTTTATTTCTTCATTTGACGCAAATGATGTTCAACATAAGCGAGGAATGCACTAAACCGCTAACCAAGCAGCGCTTCTGACCGCAACCGAAGCTGAAAAGAGAGCCACCACCACCACCACAGCAAAAGCAACAACAACAAAACCAACAAGTGCTCACACTGCAACAAAAAAAGTTGACTAAATCAATCAGCAACTTAAATGAAAACTTACAATATCCGTCAATGTCATAGTTTTTGTTTATAAAGCCCACTCATTAAATATTAACTTAAAGCTATGCGAAATATATATAAATATATTAATTATAAATAAATGAAAAAAAAACAACAAATTTTAGGTTCTTTTTTAATACTTATATCTCTTCTAGTTCATCTGTACATGTTTTCAATAAGTTAAATGTGATTAAGAAATTTAATATTAATTTAATAAATTGAGGTTAGAAATTATTGGTATTAAATTATTTAATTGACATTTTTCGTTTTAATTTTCTATTTTAACAGCTATAAAATACAATAGATGTATTTACCACAGTTCCTCTGCCGCGCACCTAATTCAAAATCAAAATTCGTATTATAATCCACTGAAATAGATTTCTATCGAATCATAAATTAATAAAGGATTAATTTAGACCTTAAATTTTCAATTTATTTGTTTGTAAATTGTGATTATTATTAATTTTTATTGAAGGATTTCGAATGGCCAATATTTTTATACATCTGATAAAAACCGATTGTCCCTAAAAAGGAAGTTTTAAAAATGCAATTAATTTATAAATTACTATAAATTACTGTCATTTTCTCAGCATTATTAAAAAGAAAATGGACAGATTTGTATTCAGCAAGGTGGTGAAATTTCCATACGTGGTTTCTGGATTTTTATCAGCAACTTTTTGCAGCCAATGACCTTTAAAACCCCGATATTTAAGAAAGCAGTCCAGCCCTAATTTTTGCATCCCTAAAAAAATTGATTTAAAGTATAACTTATTAAAAAATTAATAACAAAAGCATTTTGAGTCCAAATTGAATTTTGTTGCAGATCATTGTGAAGATTTAGAAAACATCCACCTTAGAAGTAATTAAATGAATAATATATGCAAAAAGTATGTTTGTTATTTAATTGTTAAAACTGAAGGGCCTTTAAAAAATAATCTATCGTGAAATTTTAAATCATAAGTCGCTGTACCCTATTTTTATTAAAGAAATTATGATTATGAAAAAATTTGAATACAAAGTGATGTAAAATCTATATTCTTTGATAAAACTATTAATAGTACAGTAGCTACATTGCTGGAGTTACAAATTTAAATTCGATTTCTCCAATCAATTGACTAATTTGTGTCGAACTCATCACCTGTTCGGTTAGAAAGCATTTCTTCAGTGACATTTTTGTCAGTGCATGTTTTTGTAGCTCGGCGTTATTTGAAACCCGGATTTAAAGAAACATTAAAAAGAAACAACACAAAAAACTTTTCCCGATCACAATAACGAGAAGAGCTAAGCTACAAAAAATATAAAACAACAACTACAACAACAAATGGAGTGGCGACAGCAGCGACGACAGGCCAAGTGGAGGACACATTCTGAATACAAATTCATAAATTAAACCACAAACGAATTCCCTATGTACGAATGCACTTGTCCAAAGGTTGGGTTCACCTTATACTTAGTATATCGAGGCTCATCATCATCATCATCCCCAACGTCATCATCGTGTATGCAAAACAGAATTCTTGATGGGCCCAGGAATTTTTTGAAAGGCCGCGCCAACTTATTATTTATGGATATTGAGGTCCGGAATAATTAGAAATGCACAACAACGGAACTGATATAACGATAATAAATTGGAATTAACAAGAAGACATATTTTTAATGTTCTTAGTGCTTAAGTGTTTTAAAAAAATGCTTCAAGTCTTAGAAAAGTGAATAAATTTTAATGCACTTTTGAGAATGATGTGTGGAAAGGAATGGGAGCTGTCTTTTGGAAATAGGGATTGTTTAGATTATTAATTATAAAATAAATAAACTATTTAGCAGCTGCAAAAATTTGGGCACAACAAACTTTAAGTTCATCGAAGTTAATGAGACGTGTGTTCAATCCTTTTGATTTAGATTCCCTTTATACAATTGTATATTTTAAGAGCAGAACCTCTTGGTTGGTTACAATAAAGCCGAGCCGATAGATGTGTCACCCTGTTTCTGTATTTCTGAGTAATTCCCGACAATTTTCCTTAGTTGGAGTTATTTCTTTGATTTCTCATATAAACAAAGCAACTAAACTTAAATTGGTTCAATTGTGATTTCTACTATTGGGCTCCGATTTTATTGGAACATAAGAATAAGGCGAGCGAATAAAACAAAAACTAACCCTTTTCAATGTACTAGATTTTGACTTCAGATAAGGCGAACCCCAAAGTTCTTGAGAAATCAGTTCCTAATCTAATCCTATTTGTAGATTTTTATGTAAATAAAAAGAATATCAAAAGTACAAGTAAATTTGGAAGATACATTTTCAATGTAGTTAGGTTTATCATTGGCTTGGATTTACAAACACAAACAACTAAACTTTAACTAACAGACGATTTCGTAAGAAGCAGAAAAGCGTTAATTTTTTAAAGAAGTCGATTCGCCATGACATCTCCCTCTCTTTGCGTCTTTTATACACTTTGGAGCTTTCTAGTCGCACTTTTTATACCCTATACATTAAGGGTATACCCCTTTACTTACAGTGTATGTATTTTTTATCTGGATGACAAGTCGAGTTTTAGCCATGTACGTCCGTCCGTTCGATTCTGTGTATGAACGCAAGGATCTCAGAAATTCGAAGACCTAGAATAACCAAACTTCAAATTCTCCTAAGTCCGAGACACAAATAGACAGAGTTGAGCTCCTAGCATTTCTTTCTTGTTCTTCATTAATAAGTAGTATGTTCTTAACAAAGTTGAACAGTTTGAATTCTTGCCATGGCTGCATTAGTTCTCATTGTCATTTCCGACTCAATTACAACTTGCATAACTAGTTCAACTATCTAACCAGCCTACCAGTTCCACATAGCTTCTTCGATTGGCCTATGTTATATGTCAAGGATTGATTTTGGTTACAGCTTGGTTGCTGCCATTAATTTTATAAACACGGTTTTTCAAATTGGCAGCATTTTAAGTCAATAACTTTTCATAAATCCAATTTCTCAATATTTTATCCTTCAAATGTGGAGTTCTATATAAAATCGTATTTTTTCAAGGCTTCAATACATTTTTCAACATTTTTTATTTTATAAATGATAATTTTTAATGAATTTATATTGCAAATAACTATAACAAACAATATTTAGTTAAACATCCTATAAATGTCTAATGCTGCAAAAGTTTTACATACATATAGTGTTCAGTTTTGTTGTGTTTTTTAACATCTCTAACTTAACTGAGCACGTGGTCTATTACTCTAAAATGTTATACAATCACTTCGAGTTGGCTAAATAATGTTGTTTTTGTCATGTTATAAGAAGCTTATAAAATACTACTACATATATGTACTTATTAACACATAACTTAATAAATATTTACACAAGTTCTACATAAAACTCATTTTAAAATCCTCATACAAATTAAAAACTCTCGTGTAAAAGTAGCCTAACCAAGAAGCACGCATATCACCATTCCGTCAGTGTCAATAACTGAAATGTGTTGCCCAGTTAGTTCTTGCACATGGCTTTATATGTCATATCAGAGCAGCAGCAGACGATCGCAGAGCGTTGCTGCGTGCAGGAACCCCAAATCTCAGAGACCCGTATGGCTGGTTTGCAGCTGTTCAATGGAGATGGATAGTTGCTCCAGACGTTGCATCAGCTGAAGCATGTTTTCCTGTGCTTTGGTGGCGTTTAACTCAGTGCCATGCTCCTCCTCATCGGCAGCGGCTAGTTCGAAATGCAATTTGGCAAGGCTTTCCTGTTGCTCGCGTATTTTCGTCATTTGATCCATCGTACAGCCAGAACCTGCAGCCCAAGTGTGGAAATAGTTAAGCTACTAATCTGCAGTGTAAGTTGCGGATACGTACCGAAAGCCTTCAGCTTGCCCGAATGAAAATCATCGAGTAATCCTAACAGTGCGCGTTCCATGTGCTTCACGTCGGGCACTTCAGAGACAAAGGAATGATGTTTAATCGGACGATCGTCGAATTTGTCGCTGTGGATGCTGGCGTTTTGCATGGGCGGCTTGCGTGGGGTGTTATTGTTCGTGTTTGTGTTGTTGTTGTTGTTAGTTTTTGTGCTGTTGTTGTTATTGTTGTTGTTGTGGTGGCTGTCTTGCTCGTCCTTGCTGGGATGAGGGGCCAGCCATTCACTGCTCACAAGTGTTATGCTATTTAAACTGTGCTCACTGTTTTGATCATCTAATTTGTTTTAAATCAGAATGACAACGTGAAAATCAAAAACATGAAAATAAAAGTAAACAAATAAATTAAACAAATCATAAAATAATTAATTAATATAAATGATAAGGACATCTAATTATAAATATGCGAATGAATGTATAGCGCACGTGGCGTGTTCAGTTCTAAGGATTCTCACAAGTAAATGAAACACACACAGACAATCGCCCATATCGTCACCGCCTTGTCGGTCGAATGACATATCATTTCCATTATTGAAATTATAACAGCCTATTTGTGTATGTGCAAGTGTGCGTTGACTGAGAAAAACGTAATGTGCTGGCCATATGGCTAAATGACTAAAAGTGCGTCAGACGGCGTGCTCGAAGGACATGGGGTGGCGCGAAGTCTTACAATTAGTGCATATGATATGGACATTAAAATAGGTGACAAACAATACACACATAACCACAATAACCAAACAATTAATTTAGCAAAAAGTGCGTATGTATTCGAACTTGCATTTTCTTTTACTTTTTTTTTTTTTTTTTGCAGCCAACACCAAAAGCGCCCACAGCGACTGCAATAAAAGCGACAACTATTTTTTAACTATTGAGCATATATATGCTTACCTTTGAGAAGCTTTCGCGGTCTTGTTTTGAACTCGAAACGCTCATCCCCGGCGCCGCTGCCACTAACGCCACCCGCTTGTGGGCGCGGTCGTCGTTCATTTACATACGTCACTTTGGCTGCATTTGGCGGCTGTCCCTTTTCTGATATGGTGCGCTCAATAGAGCAGGAAGCTGAATTACGGCTTCGTGTAGTTTCTCCGCTGGATACGCCCTTTATCTGCAAGAAAATGGTAAGCTTCGAATAACTATCGCATGGCATTGGATAAATATTTACATTGATCTTTGGCACCGCAACTGGAGATGGTGAGGCAGAGGCGGGGGTTTGAGCTGATTTGGGCGCACTTTGTGCTTCTTCCTCGGTTTCCACATCGTTTGGCACTAGTTTCTGGCGTTCTACCACTTCATCATTGGGCTCCATGCTGTATTATTTATAGCAAGTTGACTAACCAAATAGTTTTAAGCAATTTTACTATGCTTTGTTTTTATTTTCACTGATTTGGATTAGTGTTGATAAACGATAGTCGGAACAAGAAGAAGCAAAGACTCAAACGAACTGAACGACAGCTGAAGAACTAGTTGCTTCTGCAAATAAGAGTGTGACCCTATCCGCTGCTCAAATTTTTGTGAACGGCGGCAAATTCAAATCAAAAGCACTGTTATCAAATGTCAACGGCATTGCCCTATTGGCTATTGTTTAATGCAATCATGTTTGTCGAATAAATAAAACGTAAGCCTTTATTTATTTGTGCTTTATAGTGTGTACATTATAGCACATGGAACTAAATCTAGATTACAAACAATTTGCTTATGCCTTCTTTTTAGCGAAACCCATTGTGTAGATCATGTGCACAATGCTGACTAGGCCAATTCCGCAAAGGCCAACAGTTATGCCAAATAGAGCCTTGTCCACTGGACCACCTTTGAGAAAAACGGGCAGATCATTCGCAGCCTGTAATTACATTTTCATTACCGAATGAAATCTTACTATATTAAATTGTAAATCTACTCAACCTGAAACGTTTTCATATTTTTTGCCAGTCCTTCGGGTAGTGCCATTGTACTTAATGGTTGTTATGTAATTCGCTAAAATTGAAAAATCTCATCATATTATGGTTTATATTGCTTAAGCAAATAATAATAAGCTAAAATACTTTACTACTTTTCAAAATGAAATATTATTTTTTGTTCGTGACTTCTAAACGCACCTTTAAACTTTTCAAGTTACAAAATCAACTGCACCCTTTTCAGATTTGTTGCAATTGAAATCAGTTAAAAATAGTTTGTTACATATGTTTTTGACAAAGGCTTTTGCCACTTTTGAGAATTGCAGCTGTGCAGCATTCGTAAGAGTTGCCATTTAATGCAACGACAAACAGCAGATCAATTCACTTTCGACTACAAACATTTTAGTTAACTAAATTGCCATAAAATAAATTGTTTGTTTTTCCATTACATTTTCCATTCCAGCACAGACCGCCGGAATAATTCCTATCGAACAAGGGTTGAACGAACGAACACGTCATGTGGGAGCGAACAGTTCGACAAGCGTTTTGTTTTCGCGTACCCGATTTATACGTTCCGTTGTTCGCACGATTTTGTCGTTTTGTAAATTTTTTAGCAGGCGCCCAACAAAATTAGGCAGTTGCAAAAGTTTCCCGCGCTTTTTATTCTACCAGCTTTGGTTTTGCGCCCGTTGTGACTCCACTGTCAAATAACAAGGGTTGTCAACATGCTGGCATGCACAATTTAGCATGTTTATTGCAATTAAAAATTCTATAAATGAAACACACTGTGTGTCTATCCAAGTTGTCTTCCGTAAATAACCGTTGCTTCCGTTTTGGTATCAAATATTCATTATTTTTTATAATTTACGATTACTTAAAGATGTGATGGCAGCTCTGCCGCCACCGGTTTTCGTGTGTGTGCACACTCGCAACAGCTATATTGCTCCTATCGTTATCTCGCTTCCACACTAGTGCTCGTGCCTTGTCCTCGAAAGCGTGTTCGAGTTTCGCCAACTTTCTGCTGCATTTTGTGCGCCTGCTCGTGATTACAATAATTCTACAATTCGGTGAGTTGTGCAATTTGCCGTTGGGTGTACAAACTTATTTAACAACGAACGAATCGCATTGCCCACTGCTCAGTGTGAACGCACGAAAGTGATTTCGGGCAAGAGCGCGGTACTTTGAGATTTTGCCTCGCTTTTTATTTTACAAATTCCCCGTAGGCAATATTGTGTTTTTTTGTGTTTGTGGGTCTTTAGAATATGACACAGCGCATTGTTTTATACATTTTGAAGAAAAAGCTGTCTTAAGCTCTCGCCAAAACAACAAAATATCCGCAAATGGCTCGAATTTGGATCGTTCATCCCTCCACGCGGCCGTCTCCATCGGCGACTTGTTTTTTGAAAATACAAAATCGCCCTGCTAAAGCCTTCGACATTTTCGGCGCCCAGCACAAGAGCTTCAATTAACTTTTGGTTTTACGAAACTTGAACAAAGTTAAATCTGTCAAGTTCACCTCTGAGTGCTTTTATATTTCTCGTGGAAGCATTCGAAAAGTTCAAGCTACATAAATAGTTTTTTACTTGTAAGTTCTAAACGTGTTGTTGGCCCTATTAAGCACAACGCGTTCCACAATTACAATTTAAACATAATATGAGATCTTAAAAAAGGAGTCACTCCTACAGTGAATAGGAAATTTCATTAATACTTAATTATAATTAATTGTTATTAAGATTCTGCGGCGATCTTGTTGCTAAGATACTCTCAGTCTAAAAATGAGACACGCCTTTATAAAATACATCACTGTTTCCGATTTCCCGCAACAACGTTGTAGTCTCTTAATCATTTCAGAGGAGCTTGTTAGCATCTATATGTGTATGAAAAAATTTCATTGCGCTATTCAAAAGCACCTCATTGCACAATTATGCAAGTATGTACTATGTACCTACAAAGATATTTACTTGTACGAGTATACACATACATACATTCATCATCTTTGTGCGTGTGTGCGTCTTAAAAGCGCTCTCAATGCTTTCGTGCTTCGCAGATGGAAACTTTTACCAGAATCATGTACTTATGGATTTGTTAACCTTTTCCAAATGTTTGGAAGCACACAGATAGAAGATGGTATAGGATTGCCTAAAAAATTCGTAATTTGAAGACAAATTTGAATTTAAAGACTTTAAATTAAAATTAAGTTTCCAAGTTCGTAATATTTTAAATTTTTAATTCTTAAAAAAAATGGTAACCAGAACCTTTCACATAGGAATCAAACTTCTTCCGAATATTTTTCAAAATTTTTCAAATCAATTATCGAGTTTCATAAAGATCACTCCAATAATCAGTCATTGACACCAATTAAGACACAGATATTTAAAAAAAATACTATTATGCATTTAAGTTAGGCGTTTCCCATGAGAGGGGCAGATGAGGGGTATGTTTTTTTATGAAATCATTAACAATTTGTTTTTAAAATTAAATTCTATTGGTTCTAAAAGTAGCTTCCATTAAACGTTTCGTTTGACAAGCTTGAAAAAGCACAACGTTTTTAGTTTAATCGTAAATATTGGTGCTGTAAATGGGTCCGGTTCATTGTTTCATATAAAAAACGGAGTAGCACTGTTTTTTGAATTTAAATTGCAAACTTTTATTTATTAAATTAATATTAAACCAGATATTGCTATGATCCGTAAGAAGGGTAGAGGTAGGATATAGCTTCTAATTAATTGTTTATTTCTTCATATATGTATGATGATGCCCCGCCCCATTTCAACACCAGCTTTTCCTGCTTGAAGCAGCTTTCAGCATGAGAAGCGCAGAGGAGGCCTTCAACCTAAAGTAAAATATTTAATATAGAGTGTGTTGTTTTTAAGTCCAAGAGATGGCGCAGTTTATATATTAATTTTAGTACCTATTGCAGGCGTGGCATCTATGTATAATAAATTTATTAAAACACGTATGTACATATTATGTTGTGTTAAAATTGTGAACCAATTTCTAAAGAATTTCCTGATATTTACGGCTAAAAAAAAGAAACGAATATTTCTTCTTTTAAATGTACACTTATCTTTAAATTAATGATATTTTCGCTATTTAAAAGACAACACGAAGCTAAAACAATTGATTTTGAAAAAGTCCAATAGCTTTGGCAAACTATGCGATGAAAAAAGTGCGATTCATTTCAGCCTATTCTCCCCCTATACATGAATTCTTACCCGAGTTCCAAGCTTTAAATGCGCTTATTTGAACTGTTCTTATTAGCTTTTGTGGGCGACAACAAAGTCTTTATGCGCTTAAAGCTTAACAAAACTCTAATATGTATTTAAATGCCAAAAACAAACACAATTTCTTCTTTTCTGGCTACTAAATTTATATATATTTGTTAAATTAATATAGTGCTCGATTCAATAAAAATTCCATTTCACTACTAAAATGTGGAATGAAATCTGCTCCTTTTTTCGCTATCCTATTTTTCGTAGTGGAACAGAAAAAGATGGCACAGCTTTGACTGACTGACTGCCTTTTTTGTGGCCATGGAGACACACAGAATGGCGACGTTGGCTACTCCTTTTCGCAAAACAAAATGGATTGCTCTTTAACTAAAACAGTTAACAGGCGGGCAGCAATTAGAGCAGCGCGCTGTTAAAGTATTGCCTGGCATGTACACTAAAGCTATTGCCTACAATAGTAAGATGGTTATCTCGCTTGCACACGCTGGTACTGCTTAGACACACGAATACAAATATAAGGCACAGGCACTTTTACGGTCACAGTCGGCTGCCAGACAGCAACAACAATGGTGGCTATGGTGAACCGACAATCTGAGTGCACAAAGTCGTCGAAATACTGCCTCAATGTTATGGGCTCCTATTCAAAAATTCACAAACCGCTTATAACGCATTCACACTATTCACTCACTCACTCGCACGTTCGCTCATACGGTGAATTTTGTTTGTTCACAAAAGACGTTTTCGCTCACTCGCAATCACAATAGCAACCAAAATACAACCAAGTGGTGGTTCACAATTCTGGTTGTTTGAGTATGACGGATAATATTCACAGTATTCACTCACATTATTCATTACTTTGTTGCTGGCGTCGACTTGAGTTTTAAGATTTGAGTTTTAAAGGCTTTTTTAATTCGACTTTTTGCTTCTCAGCTGAAAACAATATACAAGAAAGTTTCGGAAATACATGTTACACGACTTTCTAATAACAATTAAAGAATCAAGGTCGTTTAATAATTGTTTCTTTTGAAACAAATTTATTCAAATTTGATTGTGCCTAACCTATTCAAACTAGAAAGGGTTCACTCTATGTACATATGTATGTATGCCCATATTAAATGATAAAAAGCTTCGTTGGCCAAGTCTGTGGCAATATATTAAATACCGTTCAGATGTTTGCAACAAGTATAGGAATCTGAACATTTAATAAAACTTTATAAAAACGGAGTGCTGTTTGCAGTAAAAACACGCTTGGCAGAAAATTGCGAATTCGTTGACGCATTCAACTGTTGATAATAAATCGGAGTTCAACATGAATTTATTTTAAACCAATTTTAATTGGTTGTCTGTATTGAAGAGTTAGAGTGTTGAAAGGCTTTATCCACTTGCTCAATAATAGTAATAGCAATTAGGACATTTTAAAATTTTGTATGGAAGAACTGATTTATTTTACATAACGTTAGAAAATGCAACTTAATGGAACAATTCCGATACAGTTTTTATAATATCAGTTAATACTTAGTAACTATTTATATTCGAAGGGAAAGAGACCAGTAAGTCTTCTCAACTGGTCTCCGTTGCTTAATAGTTGTGGTTTGACTTCCAATAGTTTCTATTCCATCTATTTTTCAGGACCTTTTAATTTATTCTGCTGTGGATTTACTTTTTTTTGCAATTATATTTCTTCTTTTGCAACATTTGTACCTAATTTTTGCTGCGAATCGGGATATAGATATGTATGTATGTACGAGTATAGGTAGCCGGAGAGCACAAATAAGATGGATAGATAAGATGTAGATATATATACATACAAGTATATGTGATCTGTTTTCTCTCTTTGCCCTATAAGTTTTCTTTCCTGTTTTTCTTTACATCAGTCATGTTTGTCGATACGAATTCATAAATAAATAAGTAAAAATTAACAAAATAAACGTTATAAGAATGGGTCGATATTTCCTAGTAGTAATCATTGCAAAATCATATCGTACGTGCGTATGGAAGGTATTACATATTGATCTGTAGTTTTTGGCAATCTGAACTTGTTCTGCCTCC